ATATATATATATATATATATATTTAGAGGGAGAGAGACAGACAGACATACAGATAGATAGATATATAGATAGACTAGCTGTTTCACATGAGTGGGTGCCATCAGGCAAACATATTTAATTAAATTAAAATCTAAATATTTTTTTTGTCCCCCCGTCACTGCTTTTTTATATAACAAAATATAATATATAAAGGAGTTGTTCTGAAACGTAACAGGTGCGGCGCGAGTGTCAAAACTACAACTCCCATGATTCATAGCGTTTGTTGTTTTCCTGTTAGGCGGCCAGTTTAAGTTGCCATAGCAGAGGATGGCGGTGCCTTTCATTGATCACACAAGATAACCGTCAAACTGCTGGCCACACGGGTAGGGGTAGTTTTATGTACGCTTTTGTAGTTTTGCAATTTTGTGATTTGGCAATATATTATACTCACGGACACGACTTTTTAACAAAGAAAATCTGTAAGCACGAAGCTAACTAGCTTGATACTTTAACGTAAACTCTGCGCCAAGTCGAGTGTTTACATCTTTGTTTACATAAAATTTAGGATTTCAATTAACTAGACCAGTGAAAATCAGCCTTAAACATTAATTAAGCGGAATACTTTCTCGCCAGTTGTAATTACACACGTCTATCAGCTGAGTTAGGCAAACAGATAATGCAAGTGTCAGGACTGGTGAAGTTGGTTTCTGATTTCAGATTAGTGCTGTTTCTTATTTTCATCCTTTGGCTCATGTCAGCATGGACTCCTCCAGTGAATCTGACACCTATGACAGACCCACGGGGCATCGATCGCGGGTCAGAAAGCGCCGAACAAGGCCTGATAGCGGGTTTCCTAGGGACAATCATGTATCAGGCATATCTGACAAAATTGATACTTTAGCAAACACTCTACACGTAAGCTGTTTTTATTATTTGCAAGTGAATGCCGGCTCTGCTGTGTAGAACAGGAATCGCTGGGGTCTTTTAACATGCAAGCTTGTGTTTTGTGCAGGACACAAGCCGAAATCTAAACAAAGTAGATCGGATGTTGGGACAGTATAAGGAACACACAGATGACCAAGCAGAAGCCATGGTGACAGTGAGTATTGGTGCACAAAATGGTTTGGGATTGTCTCTGATTTCAGATAAGGGTGTTGTTTTGAGAGCATGCCCTGTGTTCTAGCTCAGGGAGAGCTTAGAGGAGTCTATCCAGCATCTGCAGGCACAGCAGCTGAGGAGGTCCACTGCTGGGTGGAGCGCCTCCCTCTCCACACTGCACACCAGTGACCTGGACGAAGGCAGCGCCACAGGTACTAAACAAGCAATAGCTTGCTTGATTGAATTAGTGGAAGCTTGTCAATACACGTATTATTTGTAATAATGCTAATAAATTATGTATAGTATATTCTTTACTCTTCCCACTTAAAAGTACTAGTTTTTCTTTTTGCCAAAACGTGCAATATATAACCCGATTACACTGTTGAAATACTGTATCCCACAATGCATTGTTGTTATCTCATATTGTTTTTTTTTTATTGCAATGTACAAGCTAAGACATTTTACACAAAATCGCATTTAACTTTCGTCTTTTATGAGACAATTGCTATGTCTCATTTCGAAGGCTGCACCCTCCTGAGTTTGCATTTGTCAACCGCATACATCATTGCAGCTGCCTCATTTCAGAAAAGTGACCATTACATTCCAAAGTAAGAAAGAAATTAAAATAATTTACAATTCACGAGGAATAACAGTAAATTTGGGGTGCCATCAGGCAAACATATTTAATTAAATTAAAATCTAAATATTTTTTTTGTCCCCCCGTCACTGCTTTTTTATATAACAAAATATAATATATAAAGGAGTTGTTCTGAAACGTAACAGGTGCGGCGCGAGTGTCAAAACTACAACTCCCATGATTCATAGCGTTTGTTGTTTTCCTGTTAGGCGGCCAGTTTAAGTTGCCATAGCAGAGGATGGCGGTGCCTTTCATTGATCACACAAGATAACCGTCAAACTGCTGGCCACACGGGTAGGGGTAGTTTTATGTACGCTTTTGTAGTTTTGCAATTTTGTGATTTGGCAATATATTATACTCACGGACACGACTTTTTAACAAAGAAAATCTGTAAGCACGAAGCTAACTAGCTTGATACTTTAACGTAAACTCTGCGCCAAGTCGAGTGTTTACATCTTTGTTTACATAAAATTTAGGATTTCAATTAACTAGACCAGTGAAAATCAGCCTTAAACATTAATTAAGCGGAATACTTTCTCGCCAGTTGTAATTACACACGTCTATCAGCTGAGTTAGGCAAACAGATAATGCAAGTGTCAGGACTGGTGAAGTTGGTTTCTGATTTCAGATTAGTGCTGTTTCTTATTTTCATCCTTTGGCTCATGTCAGCATGGACTCCTCCAGTGAATCTGACACCTATGACAGACCCACGGGGCATCGATCGCGGGTCAGAAAGCGCCGAACAAGGCCTGATAGCGGGTTTCCTAGGGACAATCATGTATCAGGCATATCTGACAAAATTGATACTTTAGCAAACACTCTACACGTAAGCTGTTTTTATTATTTGCAAGTGAATGCCGGCTCTGCTGTGTAGAACAGGAATCGCTGGGGTCTTTTAACATGCAAGCTTGTGTTTTGTGCAGGACACAAGCCGAAATCTAAACAAAGTAGATCGGATGTTGGGACAGTATAAGGAACACACAGATGACCAAGCAGAAGCCATGGTGACAGTGAGTATTGGTGCACAAAATGGTTTGGGATTGTCTCTGATTTCAGATAAGGGTGTTGTTTTGAGAGCATGCCCTGTGTTCTAGCTCAGGGAGAGCTTAGAGGAGTCTATCCAGCATCTGCAGGCACAGCAGCTGAGGAGGTCCACTGCTGGGTGGAGCGCCTCCCTCTCCACACTGCACACCAGTGACCTGGACGAAGGCAGCGCCACAGGTACTAAACAAGCAATAGCTTGCTTGATTGAATTAGTGGAAGCTTGTCAATACACGTATTATTTGTAATAATGCTAATAAATTATGTATAGTATATTCTTTACTCTTCCCACTTAAAAGTACTAGTTTTTCTTTTTGCCAAAACGTGCAATATATAACCCGATTACACTGTTGAAATACTGTATCCCACAATGCATTGTTGTTATCTCATATTGTTTTTTTTTTATTGCAATGTACAAGCTAAGACATTTTACACAAAATCGCATTTAACTTTCGTCTTTTATGAGACAATTGCTATGTCTCATTTCGAAGGCTGCACCCTCCTGAGTTTGCATTTGTCAACCGCATACATCATTGCAGCTGCCTCATTTCAGAAAAGTGACCATTACATTCCAAAGTAAGAAAGAAATTAAAATAATTTACAATTCACGAGGAATAACAGTAAATTTGATAATAGTTACTTTTCTGAAATAAGACATCTTCAGTGTCAGTTTTGACTTCATTGACTGCACCTTCGAATGAATTTGAACTGCATTAAGCTGGATGATGGCACTGTTGTCTTCTGTAGAGCTGCTTTACAGCTGAATTGCATCTTGTGACATTGACACTGGTGTTGAACTGGGGCCAGTTGCATAAACTTAGTCACCATGTTAAGACTGTGTCTTAAGAACTAGTTTGACCAACTAGCAGTTGCCAAGGGCAAATCAGTCTTACCTTTCCACTACAAATAAGACCAATCGACCTTTTCATAACTGAATTAAAAAAGTTATGACCAGTCTTAAAGAAAAAAAATTAGATGACTAACTTTTTAAGACTAGTCTAAATAGTTTATGCAACTGGCCCCTGAATAGAATCAGTACTGACTCAAGGTGAATGACAAAATTGCTGCATTTTCTGAATTGAATTCGCTTCAGATTGATGAACTTCACAGTTATTGATCTGAACTGAACCAACACTGCACTGACTTAAGCTAAATAATGACACTATAAGAAAGGATAAGTGTCTGTGACCCGTTAAAAATACTAATATTTGTTTCCCGGGGATTAATTTTACATGCGCAAAAAGCAGCAAACAACAGAACATGAGGATTCACATGGTCATATCACATCATGCACCTGCAGTGCTTCTGCGAGTGGAGAAAAACATAATAAAGCTAGGCTATATATATATATATATATATATATATATATATATAT